CATGATGCGGAATGTAGTATACACGATTGGAATCATTGTAGGTACCGAGAGCTTCCATGTGCCCTAGCTCGATATACTCCTTCATGAAAGCGATATATTTGTCACGTAATGGGGTATCGGAGGAGAGTCGACGCTCCAAACGATAGAATTGCCTTAAAGCGCAGCCATAAGAGTCGCCTAGGGGTGGTGCGTCAGCTCGCATTAGTAATCGCACCAYGTAACGCCCTTGCAATGTTCGTGAATGAGTCGTTGAGAATATTTGCTCACATTCATCATCAATAACCTCGTCGCCATCAGACCCTTCGTCGAGCTTCCAAAAGCTGCTTACAATCTCGTCCAAACGAGACTCTTCCAAAATGTTGGCGCTATATGAGCGCAAGCCTGAATTAATTATTGAAGATGTCGATGCGGGCCCAAAAATAACCCAACCCAACCTCGTAAGTTGTGCATGTGGTTCGTTAGGACCACCATTGATTGCGTCTCCCTTCAAAATGAGACCCCAAACGTCAGCTCCTAGCAGAAGGTCAATGCTTCCCGGAGTACCAAAATGTGGGTCTGCCATTTGCAGCCCAGCCAAGTGTTTATACTGATTTCCAAAGATTTGTGCTGTTGGAAGCACCGATGTAATACATTGAATGACGAAGGCATGGATTGCCACGGAAAATTGCGAGTGAGTTGACTTGAGTGTTATTGCCACGACGCCCTTGGTGCGTGTACAGGATAATGCACCAATACCCTCGACYGCTACGTCATAGCTGCTCCTATGAAGATTCAAGGAATTAGCAAAGCGTTCTGTAATGAAACTTACTTGTGACCCAGGATCGCACAAAATCCTTGCCAACCGTTCCTCCGAATTGTCCCCAGAAACATATGCACATGCTGTTGCAAGAAGTATGATCTGGTCACCCCGAACATGGCATCCAATAACAGAATCTTGACGTCATAACGTAGTTTGAGCCGGCATTAAAGGTAGCCCAGACTGAGTTTTAGTAGTTGTAGTAATTCCCACTYTCCTTGTGGTGAGAGGAGGGGCAGACCTTTGTGGCTCTCGACAAAAAATGGTATTATGTCTACGGCCACATTGACGGCATCCTCCAGATGGACACTGTTTAGACATATGTCCTGACCTCAAGCAATTAAAGCATAGGCTTGTTTTCCTGAGGGCATCAAAACGTTTCTCCGGTGGTAAGTCCAATAACGTTGGACAACGCGTGACCTTATGAAGATTTTGACAATATTGGCATTTGGCTTCTTCCACTGAATGATTGCATCTGACGGTGCGCGCAGTTGATGCACGCTGATATTGACTGGATGTGTCGATACCATCTACGACTTTAACAACCTCCGTTGACAAACTTTGAGCTCTTTTCTCCAAGAACTTGAGTAGCTCCGATAAGCTWGACAATTCCGTTGGGGAACAGTGCATGCACCATTCGCGCTTTGTTGTTGGTGGGAGTTTTGATACCACAATAGGCACCGTTAATGCATCCCACTCTTGAAC